CCTTTGCTTTTCGCCAACTTTTAACATCAATGTTAGCAAGTAATAATAATTCAAACTATATAGTGTTTGGTACCACTTTAATGACAAAAATCTCACCAATGCGCTAGTACAAGTTTCATTAAAAAAAAGTCAAAAATAAAAAAGATTTTTGATTCAATTAGTATTAGTCACACCGATACGTTTCGGCTCCTTCCTTTGATCATCGGACCTCTCTCTTTCCGCCACTGTATGTCCTTTTCTACGTTCACGTTTGGCTGCTGGTCGCGTGTAACCCGAGATTCGACACCTCGACTGGATATATGCCACGTCTGGGTCCCAATGTTTGTTACATATATCCAGCTTTTACTGTAATGCTTTCTCAGTCTGGTATATTTGCTTCGAAATAAGCAACTCGCTCCGGATGATACTGACATACTGGGATATGTATTAAACAACAATATACAAAATATACAAAACTCCTTGTCGATGCGCCAGTAAAAAAGAGTTTTACAACGTATTTCAATTTTCTTTATTTCTTCAAGAGTGGCATTTAAAACATTTTTTCGTATATTATGTCACATCCGGGTTACTTTCTTCATAACCCGACCTTGCGTTTCCCGTCCGGTGCGTAGCACTTGGAAGAGATTCCCCTACGGGAGGCGCAAGGAAGGGCCTTTCCTAATTTATTTTCCTCGTTCACTTGTTCGCGCTCCTCCGATCTTGTGTTCTTCCGTCGGGTGCGTGTGCACTTGGAAGTGATTCCTCATGGAGAACACAAGAAAGGGGTTTGAGATTAAAATCATAATTCTTTCTTTTTCTTTTCTCTTATTAGCTTCAATAGTTCAATCGTTAATATACCAAGTTTGTGTACCTCGCCAGTGCGGCGTCTGTGAAGTTAGCTCCTCATTTTCAAAAAACAAAACTTTTAGCAACAGTTCTATTTGCACCCGCAATAGTTCCACAGTTCCTGATAGGTTTCAGAAATAGTTCCGGCGAAAAACCTAAAAAAATAACATTTTGAAAATATGAGGTGCCAACTTCGCGTGGCACCGCATCATGAGAAAAATGTTACTTAAATCATCGTATTTTATAGTTTTCAAATAGTTCTACAGTTCCTGATAGGTTTTAGCAATAGTTCCGACAGCGAAATATTAAAAAAACAATGTCTAATCTCGCAACTGGCACCTCAAATTTCCATTAAAAATGGCCAGAACTTTTTTGTTTTTGATTTTACGTCTTCGGGCCATAATAACTTCCGATAGTACTCTCCGGGGTGTAAATGGAACTCTCATCAGAACTTTGGATTTTTCAAAAAATTTCATTTTTGGACTTGGGAACTAGAAAGTTAAAGTGGCCAGAACTTTTTTGTTTTTATAGGTGATCCGTATTTTTCAGAGCGTGGGACCACGTTGATTTCAAGGAAGGAATTTGTTATATTAATTTGAGTTGTCTCCAAAAGATAGACTATCGTAAAGACATCGAAGACCGTTTCTGCGTTCGACTAGAGTATTTCCTGAATGCATATGCATGTCGAAACACATTCGGCCGATATAGGAAAAAAAAGGAAATTTTGAATGAAAAAAACCCTTAAGGGGTAACTTTGGCATTGTTGAAGATTTTTCAAATCTCCTTGTTGGTGCTGTTTTCTAATCGGAAGTTATTATGGCCCGAAGATGTAAAATCAAAAACAAAAAAGTTCTGGCCACTTTAACTTTCTAGTACCCAAGTCCAAAAATGAAATTTTTTGAAAAATCCAAAGTTCTGATGAGAGTTCCATTTGCACCCCGGAGAGTACTATCGGAAGATATTATGGCCCGAAGACGTAAAATCAAAAACAATAAAGTTCTGGCCATTTTAATGGAAATTTGAGGTGCCAGTTGCGAGATTAGACATTGTTTTTTTAATATTTCGCTGTCGGAACTATTGCTAAAACCTATCAGGAACTGTAGAACTATTTGAAAACTATAAAATACGATGATTTAAGTAACATTTTTCTCATGATGCGGTGCCACGCGAAGTTGGCACCTCATATTTTCAAAATGTTATTTTTTTAGGTTTTTCGCCGGAACTATTTCTGAAACCTATCAGGAACTGTAGAACTATTGCGGGTGCAAATAGAACTGTTGCTAAAAGTTTTGTTTTTTGAAAATGAGGTGCTAACTTCACAGACGCGCCAGTGCGTAGCACTTGGAGATAACCCCAGGCGAGGCACACAAAGGAGGCTATATTTAGTTCTTTCAAATAATACGAGTCAACCTTTCCTTGGGATGATTGCCTAGTCGAAACTGCGTAGCACAAAAACTTCGAAAGTCGAAACCGTTTAGGGAGAGGTATCATAAACATCCTCCACCGCGCGGTTAAGCAGTGCAACGCACTTGGAAATTTCCTAACTTAACCGTGCAACATAAAGAAGAATTTTGTTCTATCCTGCTAGCGAGGTACCTCTCATGCCTGCGAAGCATGCGTCAACCGACCCTTCCACAAGGAACGAATGCAATTAAGTACAAAGCGATTGGTATGAAACGGAATGAAACTGTTTGAATGATTATGTAATGCGAGAGTTTGCGTGACAACCGCTGTAGTTTGAAACTGTTCAAGAACGTTCTAGACAAAGGTCGACCGAGACAATAAACATCGTCAACGAACTACTGCTAAACGTTAAACGTAGAACGTTTCGAATATACGTAAACCGTGGAAATTACGAAAATCGTTAAAAACTAATATGTGCGGGACGAATGTCAACTAAATGCAACACGCATGTATCCGCGGTTTGACGATGATTATAAAACATCGATTGCCGTTTTACGCAAACCGCCAAAACACGAATAAGAACGGAATAATTCATATTATTCAATTAATAGTCATTCAACATAGTAAATTAACAGCTATCATTATTTAAACCTTTTCGATACCGGGAATATTAGCTAGAAAAGCCTCTTTGGTTAGCAAATTTGAATAAAATCAAGTCGTAATAGATTTCGAATATTCCAGAAACTTTAGAATTGCGACGCATGGAATTCGCGTAGCGTTAGAGGGGTAGAAAGAAATGGACAACGTTAGACGAAGGCAGAAAGAAAGGTCAAGAAGGGATGAGGAAACTAGGAAGAACGGCCAACTAACCCAATACGCACGAGATTTCCCCTCCGACACGTACCCTGATTTGCCAAATGATGTCCCCACTTTGGGCCCATGATCGCGGGTCGAACCCTGAGACACGATCGCTTGACTGAGGCAAATCACTCTTCGTCGAAAAATCGTGAGGTACGTGACGGGGAGCCCGTGTTCGCGTCGAGCAATAGTTTACGCGTGAAAATCGTAGTAATTAGCTGACCGGTAAAGTCCTTGAAAAAGGCAGAATGCCGGGAGATTGCGGTTGGCGTTTTCCGCGTTAAAGACTCTTGCGAATACGTTAAATTTCATACTTTTCAATTACTATCCTTTTCTCTTTCGTTTTTAAATCGCTCGCTAAATTAATTATTCTTCTTTTCGCATCGCGTCGTTTTTGCAATCAGTTTTCGTACTCGTTTCGTAAATAATCGTTCCGTAACACCGTACTAAAAGGCCGATCGCGAACGCGTAGTGCAAGTGACAGTTTTCTCATCTCTTCTTTGACTTCCAGATTTCTAGACAACACCAGCGATCATTAAGCAAATCCAAAATTGTATCATATACTGTAATACCTCGAGCTTGGTAAGTTGTCCATTTCATTTCTATCCAATACGACGAATCTGGATTTAGTGAGGCAAAACAGACGATCTATGGAACCGCGTGTTCTGGAAAATTTCCCACTGGATCGTTCCGCTCAACACAGCGATTTAAGGTATCGAACATTAATATTTCCAAATAAAATTCCGATCGTATTCAAAGAAGACGGGCCCACGAAACCGTAGTTTTGGTAATTTCCCCCTGGGACCGTTCTTTCTCTTTTCGCGTATAATCGTTCACAGAACATCGTCGCTCGAATCATCGAATCAAAATTTTAATTAACCAATAATCAATAGCCCATTCGTTACTGGATTCATTCTCAAATCAATAGATTTCATTTTCATATAACTTTATACTTTTTTTTATAATACATATATATTTTATTTACTTCTTTTGTATTTCGTACTTCCTGTCAACTAACTATTTCTATTGTTGTACTTATTTTCCGAAATTATATTTTTGTTACACCTAACCAGTTTAATTCATTTGCGTTTCAAAAACACTTCCTTTCCTTCACATTCACGCCTACCATCTTCACACAAATTCATACGAGGGGCCCGTATGGGACCAGAGCATTGACGGACTCAATTAATCTACTAATTAATCTATCAATTAATCCTACTAATTCTTTTATTGTTCTAATCGTAAACAAGCGATTAGGACTGGTGGCAGCGCTAATACCGTTCTCAACCGCGTATTAACTACTCGAAAAGTTAAAGAAATAACAACATAAAATCTAAACATAATACCTGTTCTTTCTTTTCTTCTCTTTCCTCTTCTTTTTATTTTGTATGTCGCGCGCCGTATCTCGCTCGCGACGTACCATTTAAGTATAAAATATACAGGATTGCCTCGTAATAAGCAACACGCTCGGGTCTGGCCTGTTGCTTATTACGGATCAGGTAGGCTATTCGGCTCGACTTTGTTCTCGAGCGCATCGAGGGGGAACGCGTAGAAAAAACAGGGGGGTTCGGTGTCGCGGCAAACTATAAAGTGATCGATCGAGCAGCGGTGTTATTCTTCGGAGAAGGATAGAACATAACATGCTTTCTTATTTTAGCAGTAGTAAAATCGGATGAATGGAATATGTAGTAAAATCGCACGAATGGAACACGCTCCAATTCCTAATTCGTGTCCCACTTTCTCTTATTTTTTGACAATTATTTTAATATTAACATATACCCACATATGTATGTATTGTGTTGTTATTGCTATTATAGTTAATAAGTTATAAATAATACATAGGATACAGTTTTGATTTGAAATAAGCAACTGTTTTCAAGTAGGTAATATAAATGAAAACGTAATGCTGGAAAACATGTCTCAAAAATATCTGTTGCGCAGCAGGCTTTTCCGAAGGGTAGTGCGACTTGGCGGGAATGGTCTTTTTTCGAAATTTGGCAACACAGGAACGTTTTCCAGGGCCCGAGGTCCCTGGCGTGACTGACCGCGGGTCGTTTCATCCTGTGTCGAGGACCCTTTTGGAGAACTCAGGGTTTATGACCTTATAGTTTCCTGTAACAACAGTGACATGGCCTTTAACGTGGACACGTCATTTCTTTTTCGGAAAAACCGAGGGGTCTTTACCTGAAACGGGACACAAAATTTGTACCTACAATTCTCAGTTTGGTCAGTCTTTTGACAACCGTTGAGCGAACAGTGCGAAAAGTCAGTGTGAACAGTGAGATTAGAGTTTCCATTAATCATGGCAGAAAACCAGAATAAGAAAAGGGTTTTCCTAACTATTCAAGAAAGAATGACAATTGCGGAACAGTTACAGCAGGGAGTGATCATTACATTTTTAACTCGAAAATACGGAGTTTCGCGAGATGTAATATATCGCATTCGTCGCGAGTGCACCCGATTGTCTACTTTTGGAAACCGAGGAGGCCGTGTTTTGCAGCACAAGAATCGAAGAGTGTCTTCGAATGAAATTCTCGAAAATCGATTATATGCATGGTTCTTGGAGCAGCGAACAATGGGAAATCCATTGACGGATTTATTATTGCAAGAGAAGGCAATCGAACTGTGTAATGAATACGGTGCAGTGTCGTTTGCCGGAAGCAGAGGATGGTTGCGTAATTTTAAGAATCGATATGGAATTCGGTTAGTCCGTGCTCACGGAGAAAAGGCAAGCGCAGATGATGAAAGTGCAGAAAGGTTTGTAAATGATTTTACAAAATGAATTGAAGAAGAGGGGATTAATTTGTCTCATATATATAATATGGACGAAACGGCACTGCTTTGGAAGGCTGTTCCATCAAAGAGCTTGATAAGCAGGGAGGAAGGACAATTGGCAGGAAAAAAATTTAAAAAAGATAGAGTGTCTATTGGACTATGTTCCAATGCAGATGGGACCCATAAACTTCAGCCAATTTTTATTCACAAATTCAGAAATCCACGAGCACTGAAGAATTGCACACAATTACCTGTGTTTTATAAATCTCAACGGCAAGCGTGGATGAATGGAGATATTTTTAAAGAATGGTATGAACATCATTTTAAACCTAGTGTTCAGCAATACCAGTTACAAAGTGGGACAGTTGGGAAAACAATATTAGTTTTGGATAATTGTTCAAGCCACAAAGTAACTGAAATCGATCCAAATTTCGAACTGGTATATTTACCACCAAATACCACGTCCCTCATCCAACCAATGGATCAGGGAGTAATTGCAAAATTAAAAACTGTATATCGGCATAAAATACTACGTCGTATTTTGCAATACGAACATGGTATACAGGAGTTTCATACAAAACATAATATTAAAGAGTGCATTTATATTCTCTCCGAATCATGGCTGGACATTACATCTGTAAATATAAAAAATAGTTGGAATAAAATTCTAGCAAGGGATCCCAACGAAAAAGAAGATGATGCAGCAAATGTGGTAAATACTTCTATACATTCAGAAATAAGTGATATGATACAGGCCATAACTGGCGAAGAGAATAATCGCGAAGAGTGTATAGCAATATTGAGACACTTAGATGAAGAAGAAATAATTGACGAAAACGATGGAGAAGAAAATAGAGTAGAAGAAGAAGACGAAGAAAATCAAGAAGAGCCAGACCAGCGTTACACACAAGTAGTAGAAAGAAACGAAAAAGAAGGAGAAGAAGACGCGACAGAAGTAGAAACATCAGATAATTCCGAATTGAATTTAATAGAAAAAAAGAAGAAGGATCTGAATTTGCTTGAAGAAATTATAAACAGATATGCTAATGATAATGAAGGAATATTATTAATGGGAGAAGCAATGAGAAAGTTCTTAGAAAATGAAACGCCACAGATAAAGAAAAATCATCCTTGACAACTGTAATATAGGTAAGTTCATTTAACTGATCTCAACATGATGTACAGTAATGCTTCGAAATAAGCAAGTGGCTCGGGACCGAACAGTTGCTTATTTCGAAGCAGGTAGCTATTCGGCTTGACTTTGTTCTCGAAACGGGACGATAGAGAACGCGAGAAACGAGTGAGAGATCCGAGGTAGCGGCAAATCATAAAGTGATCGGCCGAGCAGCGATGTTATTTTTTGGACAAGGATAGAATATAACATGCCCTCTCATTCTCGCACTATGCTTTATTTCGAAGCAAATATACCAGACTGAGAAAGCATTATATATATTCCGTCCTTCTTCTACTAACCGATGTCACCGCTCAGTCGAGCGTGAAATTTATTACCCTAAACATCGGCTTCGCGCTTTCATGGACCTCTCACTCGTTTCTCGTACCTCTCACTTTGCGGGCGACTTCAAACAAAGAAGAGGGGATAGCGACTTGCTTATTTCGAAGCAGAGACCACTTGCTTATTTCGAAGCATTACTGTACATACAATAGTCCATCAATAGTTTCGGAGAATATGTATGTACATTCTTCACTCACAGTAGAATCACTAATGTCAGAGTGAGAAAACATTACACATGTCCTATCTTCCTTCTACCAGGCTGTTCATTCGACCGCGAAGATTTATGGCTTCTCCGCTTTCACGGACCTCTCGTTCGTTCTCGGATCTCTCGCTCTGCGGGCGACTTCAAACAAAGAAGAGGGGATAGAGATTTGCTTATTTCAAGCCAGGAAACTGTTGCTTATTACGGATCAAGACTGTATAGCAATATATTTAAGTATATCAATAATTTAGGGAACATTTTGAATATCTGTAAATACATGTCCTGTGTATTATTTAAAACCTATAAACTGAAACAGCAATAATTATATAACATTCGTACACAGATGTGTACTAATATTAAAATAATCGTCAAAAGAAATAAGAGGGAATGTAACACGCAATTAGTAAATTGGAGCATGTTTCGTTCATGTGATTCTACATGCCTTCGGAACCGCATAGTGCGAGAATGAGAGGGCATGCTATATTCTATCCGGTTTATGATTTGCCGCAACCTCGGATCTCTCACTCGTTTCTCGCGTTCTCTATCGACCCGTTTCGAGAACAAAGTCAAGCCGAATAGCAACCTGCTTCGAAATAAGCAACTGTTCGGTCCCGAGCCACTTGCTTATTTCGAGGCAATACTGTAATTACTTGCTAAAATTGATGTTAAAAGTTGGCGAAAAGCAAAGGAGGATTGGAAATGAAAACCGGTTGCGGTGTCGGCTCGGCTTTCAAACACTGCATATATTCAGCCGAGGTGTCGATTCTGGGCATTTAATATTGCCTATATCCAGTCGAGGTGTCGATTCTGCGTCCGTACACATCGTTTGTATTCAGCCGCGATACTTATTCTACGTACGTACAGAAACTCGAGATAGAAAAACTCGGTTCGACCGAGGAGAGGTATAAACAGCGTTCGCTGCGCGGTTAGCCAGTGCTTTGCATTTTAGGGGTCTCCTCAGACTAACTGCGCGAAAGCGTAAAGATCAATTTATTTCTGAAATTATAACCGATACTCTCCTCTTTTTCACGCGTGGACGCCAGTCGGTCCCTAACCCGATCGCGTGTATGAATTGACTGCTGGAATGAGAACGCAAAGTAATCTAGCTTGTTGAATATTTGTATGAATGCGAGAGCGAGGAATGAGAACCCTTGCAGGCAAACGTTAGCAAGCGTTCGAGGACTGTTTAGAGGCGAAGGGTCGTACGGGGCAATAAAAGTCTTTGTATCGAATACCGAGAATTTGCCTGAAACCGAAAACCTAACGGTAATTTTTGAATGGCGAGAACGTTCTCGAATCAACTACGTCGCAAATGTAATAACGAATATTCGATTAATAATGGAAAACTGTCGTTATTGGAAAATTGCAATGGAACACCGAATGCCTTATATCGAGCGTACCGGCGCAATTCGTATTGTTGATCGATTTCTTACGAACATAATGATTATGGGAAGGACAATTGTTAATTAAGAAACCTCGTGATCACCGGTTCCATTATTCATACGCAATAGTACTACGGATGTTATAATTACTTGCGAATTTATCGTTTAGCAGGTCCGATTTAACTATTAATAGATATTCGCATCATTGCTGTCTAAGATACGAAATTATCGAAAGCGTGGAACAATCCAGAAATTCTACGGCGTAGAAACACCGAAAAGCCGTTAGACGGAGAAAGAACACCAAGAAAGAGAGAAAGCGTGATCTGGAGGAATTTAGCTGGCACGCGCGCTCGACCAATAGAAACGCACGCGACGTCGTCGTTACGCGCTGTGATTTGCCGAAATGTCCCCACGCAGGACATCATCATCGCTACGGGCCCTTCCGGCTAGGATCGCGATCGATTCTGATCACTCTTCGTCGAACAATCGAGTAAGTCGTGACGGGAGCCCGTGCGTCTAGAGATAGAGTTGTCGATTGTACTTCGTGTAATTTAGCTGCGCGGCAAGTCCTACGAATTAGGCAGAGTGTCGCGAGGGTGAAATTCCGGATACGCGGCAAAGACTCAGAGACGCGCACGTTAAACTCATTTCATACTATTAATATTCTATCGTTTCTCTTTCTTTTAATCCGTTTGATCGCGTAATTTTCGTATTAAACTCATCCCGTTTATTATACTATTTTCAAAAATTGTAATTGTCTTGCGTTACGTCTATTGAATTTTCATTTGCAATAAACGGCAACCGGGTGCGCGACAAGTGCTAGTGCGACATCCACCTCTCATCTTTCTTGGTGTTCCAGATCTTACAGCGATTATTCAACGACTACATAGCAAACCACAAGCGATTTTTATCGTACATTATATTCTACAGCCTCACGGTAAGCCTGTTCTGTACTAATTTGTCGAGCACGGCATTATTATTGAATTTCGTCAAGGCAAAACGGGCGATCTATTAAGCCTACGGGTTGTAAGAGTCTCTTCATTTTAGATCGCCTCGTTTCCCACATTCAGGTACCGATTATAATTTATTCGCTATATTAATATTCCGAATTTTGAACCATCGCGAATTTGCGTGTGACGATTGTTTCGACTACGATACTTTATCAGGGACGACCTGTAAAGCCCTTTCGGGGGTTGTAAGAACCTCTTCATTCAGGTCGTTATCTTGCGGATAGAAACCGCCAAAAATCTATTTTCCTATTAAATTTAGTCGAGGCAGTCGTCTTACATTAAAAATTACATTTCCAAATTCGTTTATAATTATATTACAAAGTCTCATTGTAAACCAAAGGTTAAATATCTTTTCCGTTTTCAGTCACATTTATATAAAACAATAGGTTAAGCATCTTTACCCTTGTAAATCAGTATTGTTTTAATTGAATTCATCTAATAGCAATTATCAGTGTTTAAACAGAATTATTCAGTATAGTCATTTGGAATTCAGTTATCTGTTAGCTTCAATAGTTATTTTGAATTAAATTTACTTTCTTTTTGCACACTAAACTGTATCAACATTTCTTTCAATTTCCTGTTGTGGGGAAGGCGTTAAATTTATTACACTTTTTAATATGAAAAACAGGTTTATTAGCTATCACAATTCTTTCATACGTTTTTTCTTATGACGCAATACATCTCACGACACACTCACGCATCTCTCTATCAATCCTGCCAAAACATTCATTCCTGCCAACCACTCACTTCTGCCAATCACTCACTCCTGCCAATCATCCATTACCAACCCAATCATTCTTCTCTCATTCAAATATAAAAACAAACCTCACACCTGTATCATTGTATTATTTCAAATCCACGCACCCCAACACAAAGTTTCAAGGAGGGACCCGTATGGGACTCAGAACACTGACGAACCCAACGGAAATAAATACTATCTAAATTTTAATTTGTTCTGACCGTAGAGGACGTTTCTGCGTCATATGCGGTCAGAACTGATGGCAGCGATACCTTTCTCAGCGCCCAAAGATAAGAAGAATCAAATTCAATACCTTTTCTAACATCTATCTTCATTTTATTCTTTCTCTTCTTTTACGTTGCACGCTCGCCGCGCAACGTAACACATATATCCAGCTTATACTGTATTCCGTTGAAGAGTGCAAAATACGTAAAAGTAATTTAACAATACCAATTTTATTTATTTGTTTCTTTTTGTATAATTACAAATAACAAAAAGTAATTCAGCTTTGAGCGAATAGAAAAATTCAGCTTCGAGCGAATAGAAAAATTCTGCTTTGAGCGAATCGAAAAATTCTGATTTGAGCGAATCGAAAACTTCTGCTTTCAGCGAATCGAAAAATTCAGCTTCGAGCGAATAGAAAAATTCTGCTTTCAGCGAATCGAAAAATTCTACTTTGAACGAATCGAAAAATTCAGCTTCGAGCGAATAGAAAAATTCTGCTTTGAGCGAATCGAAAAATTCAGTTTCGAGCGAATAGAAAAATTCTGCTTTGAGCGAATCGAAAAATTCAGTTTCGAGCGAATAGAAAAATTCTGCTTTGAGCGAATCGAAAAATTCTGCTTCGAGCGAATAGAAAAATTCTGGTTTGAGCGAATCGAAAACTTCTGCTTTCAGCGAATCGAAAAATTCAGCTTCGAGCGAATAGAAAAATTCTGCTTTGAGCGAATCGAAAAATTCTGCTTTCAGCGAATACAAACAAACGGGTCTCATTTCAATCAGTTTTAACAAGAATATAAAAATGCCTAGATTGCCGACGAAATCGCCGAATGAAATTTATGATGCTCTAAAAGAGCTTTGGTTTATTGATAATGAAGGTAAACTTTTGGCATGGGATAATGATGTTTAGATAAAAGCGGTACATGCATTAAAAGGTACAATGACAAAGGATTATATCTACCTTTATTTGTCAAAAAATAGAAATAATGTTTTTGATCAAATTCATAAAATCGAAACATTGGAATATGCCAAAGACGAAAGTTTCGATACAACGGTATCAGACAATTTGAAAGACGATCCAAATTGGTCGATGAGTAAAACAAATTGCGTATT